TTTTCATATTTTTATTTTTGATCTATGTATAGCTCGTGTGTATTTCCCATGTAATACGGAGATCTTTTTATAAAATTAAATACATGCTCACATGTATTGTAGGTATGTAATATGTGTTTTTCAGCATAATGATATACTCGGAAAAAGTATAATAAAAATTTAATGTGATTTTTTTTTCTTTTTTTTATTATTAAAAAAAATATTTTGGCTTCTGCTACAGAAAAAAAAATTCTATCTTTATTCTAATTTTTATTAGCCATATTAAAATTTGTTTAATTTCTACTTGATGGCGTTACAAAATTGATATTTCGCTCATGAGATTGCTACTACATCGAAGGATTGATTTAATTCTTAATCCATTGCAAAATTTATCCTCAAATGTGAAGGAAGCAATTTAAAAAAAATGAAATGAAGAGAAACGGAAAATATCTAATATTTTTCTCTCTCAATTAAGTTTCTTAAAGTTTTTTCTAAATGTGCCGCCTTTTTACTATAGGGCGGCTAGTTTTAAATGTATATACATATGAACATATATTTTCACTCGGTTTTACAATTTCTCAGTTATACGACATAAATACATATCATTCTCTCATTTTTCTTTCACCTGATACCTCGTGACTAAAACGGAGAGAAACATAATTGAGAAACATAATTTAATTAATAAAATGGAAATTATTGGGATATATTTCAGGTATTTTTTTATGAATCATGTTAAATCAACTCTCTATATTGCTCTCTTTTTTTTCCTCACTGTCAATAACTGTCAAGCATAGAGCACTTATTGGAGTTGTTATTATCTTCATATATAAATTAAATTTAAAAATTAATTTCCCATATTACTTTTAGATTTATTGTGAATTTGAAATAAATGTGTTTATAATTTTAATTTCTTAATAAAATTGCAATTAAAAGTCATAACTTTCAAAATTTTCACAATTTCAAACTAAGTTTTATAATTTAACACAAATGTTACACTTTTTACTTGACAACATCTTAAATATACTTATATGAAATATTAGAATACATTACGTACGTAGCATTAATTCCTTATAAACATGAGGGTAGAGGTTAATAACTTTTATATCTTTCCGTTGACGGCGCCATTGTTCACAGTATAATAATATGAAGTTTAAAAGCATGAAGGTCATGTGTCATGTAAAATCAAAATTATATTATTGATAGCAAAATTTCACCCACACGTTGGTTTGCTTTTTTTTTGTTTTATTTTTATTTAGCAAAATTGCCGCCGTGGAGTTGCCATATGTAACTATATTATTACTTTATTTCTATACTAATGGATAGATAATTTAAACGTAAATTATTTATGAAAATCAAAAAAAAAATTTTGAATGACTTTGTGGAATGCCTGTCTGTGCCTTTGTTTCTGTTAATTTTTGTTTTTGTTAGCAAAATATCTAAATTATTGAAATGAAGGAAAACAGGTGCAAATTCTTTCAAAATTAGATATAGATTTCAATTTTGATGGAAATTGAGAAAATATAGCTGTTTTTTTGTATTCTTTTTATTATTTATATTTTTGGTTTTTTGAATTTCTCCTCTGCTCATGTATACGTTAAAGATTTGAGGAACTGAAAATATTTTTCAGTTTTTCAAAACAAGTCATCATTCTTATAAATTTCATTGTCAAAATTATAAATTTAATTATATTTTATTAAAAACAAAAATTTATGATGAAAATTTTTTTAAGATTTCAAAGTGAAGAAGAAATTGCTTTTGGTTTTCTGTTTTATTTTTGCTCCTATTTATATCCTCTTTTGATTATCGTTGGACTAAACTTAAGGAATTTTAAAGAATAAACATTGTTGTAGAAAATAAATTTATTTTTATTTTTGGTATGCTGCCGGTATTCTTGCCACACTATCGAAAATTATTATTGGAATTATAAAAACAATAAATTGTGCTCTCTTAATAGAAATATTTTTGAATATAAATGGAAAATTTTTAGAAAAAAATAAAAATGTAGAAAAATTTTAATATCTCATTATTATTAAAAAATTACTAGAAATTTAATCTTATTGAATCAAATAAGCAAATAAGTCTATTGCCCTTTAAAAATTTATTTCTTTAACAGTATTAATAGCGAGTCTGCTGCAAAAAATTCTAATTTATTGGAATTTATTAAAATAAATCATTTATTTCACAAAATTGTCACTCAAATTTATTTCATAATTTTTGGAAAAAATTTAATGAAAGCAAGCAGAAAAATTATTATTTAAAGTTAAGAGAAAAGTTAAACAGACTAAAAATAATATATGTATAAGATCACGCATCGCATGAAAAATTTTACTGCTTCTGTACCGAATGTGAGAAAGTCATAGAATTCCTCAAGTAGGTGTGAATGATTTAGTGCTTTTTTTAAGAAAATTACCAAAAACAAAATGAATTTTTACTGCTTGTGTTCGGAAGTTGCCATCATGTTTTTTAACAAAGAATTTATTTTCATGCGATTTAAGACGAAGTTATTTTCCAAAAATTTTCAAAAGTATTAAGTATAAAAACAAACAGTTGAAAAAGAAAATTCGGAACTCTGTGGTATTTACTTTCATATCTGATAGTAAACTCCTCCACTCAAATCATCACATCACAAATACGAGCACAAGAAATACGAATATAGCTTAATACTTCGGTTAGGAGAACATTTTATACGAATATCAGACCAAAACAACGGATGTATCACACTCACACTACTCATGGCAACACTGTTTCTAACACATCTTAACTTCATTCTAGTACCAGCAGGGCTAAAATGAATGACACAAGTCTAATTGTTGCAGTATATATAAAAAACAAAGCATAAATGTATGAAAAGATACAACATATAAATAAATAAAAGTTAGGTTATGTTAGATTTCACATAAGACATATTTAATATAGAGATTAGATTTCAATATGTGGTACAAATGTATAACAGAAAAATGTCATGTTTGTGACAGAAACAAAAGGAATTGCTTACTACTTTAAAAATATTAATAGGGTTAATGACTACAATAAATAGTAATTTAAAAAACTGTGGAGCTTGTTAGATCTGGGAAACTATATTACAATATTTTTTGAATTGGCTTTCAAATTTCGTACAAACAAATTTATTTTTTTTATGGTTAAAACTATCTGTACAATACCATTTTGCTACAGCCAAATATTTATTAAACAAACAATACCAACGAAAAATTGTAAACTATTTTTAGAAATTCCGAAAATCAGCCGGACAGAAAGTGGTCACAAACACAAAAAAAATAAAAATAAAAATTTTAATGAATTGTCACATAAATTTTCACTATAAAAAAAAAAATTTTTTTTAATAAAAACCCAAATAAAATTTAATTTAATACATTGTAGCCTAAGCTTATGCTTTTCTAAAAATAATTTGCAATTTGTGCCTCCCCTGGGACTGGGGGGACGGGGTCTGGCCATGGTCAGTCGTCCCGATTTGAGGCTTTTGTTGGGAGTTCTCACTGGGCACTGCCTCTCGGGGGTCCATCTGAAAAGGATGAAAGGGTGGGGAAGGCAGCGCTTGTGCCTGTAGGAGGACAAAACCATGGAGCACTTATTGTGTGAGTGCGAGGCGGTTACTCGTCTGCGACTGAGATGCTTCGAGGGACTTTGTGACCTCAGGCAGGATCTCGCAGCTTGATGTGGCTGCCCATACTGCGGTTTGTCAGGGGCCTAAGTGTAGGGCTAATATAGGTGGGAATGGAAATCACAAAAGATCCTTTGGATCGACGTAAGAAGGACTTAAGAGCCTCTGTCCCCGGAGAAAAAAAAAAAAAGCTTATACATTTAAAAAAAATACACAAATCAAAAAAATTTATTGATTAAGTTCCAAGTTAATCGAAATTAAGAAAATAAAGAAAAATTAGCCACTCATAATAAGAATATACAAAAAGAAAAGAAAGATAAATTCATAAATGAATTTTTGAAAATTATATTAAAATAATTGCGTTTTTTTCGTTTAAAAAAGTATAAAAGACGCTGTACAAGAAATTTAAAAAATTTTTCTAACTAAACTGTAAATCACAGACAGCCTTGGAATATCCGTTTAGTTCGTGCCAAAATAAATGCAGAAACTTTCTACAATTTGTTATATTTTCGCATTCCAATTAGTAGAGGTTGTAGGAGTAGCAAGAGAAAAAAAACCCTGCCCGATAACCCATGCACTAGGCCAACAAGAAGGTCCCACATAAAACAAATTCCTGAACCACTACCTCAACCAATTTACCTGAAAACCACCTACTTGAACCAATCAACCTGTTTTGCGAATATTAAAAACCGCCCGAAAAAAACCCCCTACAAATCCCCGTAATTATACATTCCTATTAACTAATTTTCTTGGGACCTAACTATGTAATAATTCCAAAAAACTGTAAGGTAGTACAAATCAATTTGTATGGTACTACATTCCATTTCTGCAATTACGAAAATAGTTTCGCGAAAATCGAATTACATAGTAAGGTCCCTGATTTAATTTTTTCTTTAATCGCATCGAAATTTTTAATCAAACAGTTGATAATTAAAGCTGTACATTCGAATTTTAAATAAAAGTTCTTGAAAATTTTTAGAAATTAAATTAGTATCTTTGTGTTTTTTTTTTTTTTTTGACTTTATTATTTTTAGTTTAGGATGAATAATTTTATTGTTATAATTAATTTTTTATTTTACGTGTTATTATTTTTTTGCATGTCAATCAAACCACACCATTTCTTTATTTCAAATAATTATGTAATTATATGAAATTTTTTTTATTTTCATATAAAAATATTAAAAATCTTCATGACCATTAGATGACTAATGTAGCGCCTCACTATATGCAATTATCTTTAAATTATACTTAAACACGTAAATAATTTTGAATATTAAAATTTTTAAAATTATATTTTTTGTGAACAAGTTTTAATATTCTCAACTTTTTTAAAATATTTTAATTAGAAATTTGATAAAATTTAAAGAAATTCGAGAAATTTTAATTTTTTTTTTCCACTTACTTGGTATAATACGATGTGCGGCTTGTTCTAATTGGGTATGTTGTCTGGCTAATTGTTCGACCATTTCTTCTAATCGTTGTCTTTGTTCACGCTCGTGTTGTAACATTTTAGACCATTTTGAACCTTGACTTTGTGCTGTTTGTAAATAATCATTGCATGCCTACAAAAACAAGCGTAATTTTAATATTAGAAGAAAAAAAAATTTAATTGAAAATTTTAACACTTTGCCGTCTATTGATTTTATTGATAGTGCGAGGCACAATAAACTGCACAAAGTGAGTATATTTTCACTATTATAATAAAATTTATTCAAATTTTATAATTACATTTATCATAGCATTTGAGGTTATCCTAAATAATGTTGCACGTTCATTAACAATTTTACTTCTATTGGCGAAATCATCTCCAGATTCTAAATCTGTTAAGGCTATTTGAAGTGCTTTTCCATGTTTTGATATTAAATCATAACAGGTTTTGAGGTTTTCCAATCTAAATCCGCCCATTTTGTTAGCAAAATTAAAAATGTTTTACAATGTAGAAAAAATTGTTTAAAAAAAAATTTCATATTTTTTTTTAATTTTGTTTTTAATTTTTTTAATCCAATTCGAAGAGTTCAATATGAAATGAGAAAAAAAAAGGACGAAAAGAAAATAAAAACAAAAAAAAAGAAATAAAATCAATTAAACTAACAATTAAACCCAATGAACATGATGTGATGTAAGAATATTTTAAACATTTACAGTTAAAACAAAAATGATATCTGAAAAATTTAATGATTTTTTTTAATTAAATACTAATTACGAAATTTTATTATTGTAAATATTGCAACACAATGGTAGTTTTATAGCACAATTACTAACAGTGTTAAAATTTAAAAATTATATGGTTGGTTATTAAAATCAAAGCCTTCTTTAGAGCTTCATAAATAATACAAAACTAATTTATTAACACTAATGATTTGCCATGTATAATTCACCATGAAATCAGCTGTTTTGTGTATTTTCACCAACACTTGATTTAATTTACCGAATATGGTAAATTTGCTATAAAACATCAATATTTTAAAATTCAACAAAAACATTATATGTTATAATATTGACAATACAATTATAAATAATTAAAATTTAATTTATGATTTAGTTGGTATATATATATATCATATTTGAAATTATTTTAAGCTAATTTGCAGTCAAAGTGTTAATGAAATTATTTTATGAACTTGATGGTATATGAATTAAAAAAAAATACCGACGTAATTTTTGTGAATATTTCCACCACATAACCATTAAAATTACATTAAAATGGGGGGCCCAAAACCGCACTGTCACCTCCTAGTGGTGGGCCCCGGTAATGGCGGAGGATAAAGGGGTGATTGAAACGATCAAAGTTACGTTCGTGTCGTGGTCATGTCTCGCGGCGAGCCTCTTACTTTGTAAGTTTCAGCCCTATATCTATACGTCAGCTGACGACAGGCGTCCCAAGTCAAGGTGAAACGACATATGCCGATGACTGCGTGGCTAAGGGGGAGCTTAGTCGTGAGTATGCGGACTCTGGATACCAGGCACCTTCCAGTTTAAACGAGTCTTCCCATGTTATGCCGGGCTCTGCCATGGGTGACTTTACTTTCCCGCGCTATTCGTGGGACCAGAAATGGAAAACATAAACAATAACAGCAAAAACAGCAACAACAAGAACAACAACTGTGGCAAACACAACAACTGCAAAAAGAACAACATCAACAACAACAAAAACAATAACAACAGTGACAAAGGCAGCGCCTCCGATGGAGACGGATAATCAGGATCCTCTTGGACCTATTATCCAACAAACTGAGGAGGCCCTGCAAAGGTTGGACATCAGGGGAAAAAAACAATATTTCTTTGGTGCAATTAAGCGGCGTATCGCGGCTTATATCAGGGATGGCATGTCCCCAGAGGAAGCTCGCAGATATGAGAAGGAAAGGCTGGAAAAGCTGAAGGGTGTTGTGGTCGACCATCCCCAGAAGATAGAAAGGTCGGAAAGCAACACCCCTGATGCAGGGCCCTCAAAAAAGAGGTCGATGAAGGGCAATGTTGAGGAAAAGGTCTCTGGGAACATTCCTCAACAAAACCCGAAAATGACTTCTTATCGGGATGCAGTAGGGATGTATCGGGATGCATCCAGAGGAAAGGCTATCCTCAGTTCAGATGGGGAAAATCAAAGTAGCCATCATGGATGAAATGGATAAAGTTGTGGACTCTCATCCACAATTCACTGCAGCGTTGCAAAGGAACGGATGAATATCCGTAACATGCAACAACCAAAACACCAGGGAGTGGATAACCAGTGTCTACAGGAAGATAAAGCCTTGGGACGGTTGCGACGTCGTGGTACTGGATGGCGACGACATGCCCAAACAGCATGTCTGCGTCACCTACGTACCAAAGGACGAGACAACCGTCAGTCTCTCCAGGGACAAATTTCTAAGTAGGATAGGGAAGCAAAATCCCGGCCTCAAGATAAGTTCCTGGAGGGTGCTGAGGATGGATAAGGAAAAGGACGGGGGCTGCTCCATCACCTCTTTCGGATTCCGGATTGGAAGATCTACGGAAAGCGAAGTTCTGACTTTTCCTGAATTTCTTCCGTGTTACCGTTCGGGTTAAACGAAGAAAATCCTCTCAAGGTGCTGGCGGCAGGGCAGGACAAATTAAAAACCAATGCCTACCTCGGCAACGACGAGCACTTCAGGCCAACCAAAAGAGCCAAAACTCATTGGAAAGTCTGAAGTCGCTCCGAAAATGGCGTTAAGGGAAACGGAAGAACCATCGACCAGCACGCCAAATACAAGCGTCCCGGGTGAATCAAAAGGGCTCAAGCCCATTGGGAATCCCGGAACTGCTTCGGTATTTGCTGTTGGAGGGGCTAGCGTGGCAACTTGGACGGCAAAAGAGGCTGTGGCAGTGCAGGCGCCCACCAAAATGTGTAAAAAGGCGGCAATGGAAGGTAAGGCTCATGTAAAGCCTTTGTCTAAAGGGCCAAAGCCCATAGACAAGAGCTGGAGGAAATGATATGGCTGTGAGGTGCATCCAAATGAATCTACAGCATGCTAGGGCATCTACTGATGTTCTAGCTCATAGATTTATGAAGGATCACCTCGATATTGCCCTTATCCAAGAGCCTTACATAGTGAAGGATCAGGTTAAGGACCTAACAGGTAAGCTATTGTATGATAATACAATTGGGGATTTTGTTTAGTAAAAGGCTAACGTATTTTCCCATTCCAGATTACTGTTCTAAGGATCAAGTAACTGCGTTGGTGAAGGTGAAGTCCCTCGGGGGCTGGACAGAGTTCATTCTGTGCTCATCCTACCTCCCGGGGGACTGTGCCCACCCGGACGAGCAACTAAAGGATCTAGTGGACTTTTGTGGAAGAAGGAACTTCCAACTTATAATAGGAAGTGATGCCAATGCCCACCACACCGTCTGGGGAAGCAGCAATGTAAACAAAAGAGGTGAGTGCTTACTTCAATTTATATATAGCAATAAATCAATGGTTATGAATGAGGGCAATAGACCGACATTGATAAATGCAATTAGGGAAGAGGTCCTTGACATCACCCTTTGCACTGAATTTGTCGGCAGTAGGGTTGGTGGATGGCATGTCTCAAATGAGACATCCATGTCCGATCATAGGCAGATTAGGTTTGATATCATGGTCTCTGGGGGCCTTGCAGAAGAAATATATCGGGTACCCCAATCCACAGATTGGAGTCAATTTGAAACGCTCCTCATGGATGGGATTGGATCCGTTCCTGCTTCTGTCAGAACGGTGATGGATATCGAACTGGCCAGCGAGGCCCTGACGGCGGCTATTACTAATGCCTACCACGGGAGCGGCCGCGCTAAGCCGAGGCGGAGCAATAGGAAGTGCCCGTGGTGGAATGAAGAGCTTTCGAGGCTTAGACTAAAGACCAGAAAGCTATTCAATAAAGCCAAGGCGTCGGGTTCGTGGGAAGAGTATAAAGGCTCCCTCACAAAATACAATAAAGAAATTAGGAAAGCGAAGAGAATCTCGTGGAGGACGTGCTGCAAGGGCATTGATGACCTCTCCAGCAGTGCGCGTCTTCACAGCTTGCTTTCCAAAAAGTACGCTAGCGGGTTGGGCCTAATGGAACGTCCTGATGGCTCCATGACAGAACGGAAAGCAGACGTTGGAGCTTATGGCGTCAACGCACTTTCCTGACTCGGAGATTCTTCGGAATCACTCAAATGCGGTCATTGAACCGAGGGCATCCTGGCCCAGGAGGGATGACTGGCAACGATCCCGTCTAGTCTTCACGATGGGCAGGATTAGATGGGCTGTTTTCTCTTTCAGGCCCTTCAAATCTCCAGGTGATGACGGGATATATCCTGCATTTTTGCAGAGGGGTTTCCAACATATCGCCAGAGCAATGTTGGAAATTTTTCGTGCCAGCTATGCGTGGAGTTACATCCCTCAGGCATGGAGGGTGGCTAAAGTGACGTATATTCCGAAGGTGGGTAAGCGAGCAAGCAACTACCCAAGGTCTTTCCGTCCAATCAGCCTTACTTCTTTTCTATTGAAAGCAATGGAAAAAGTGATTGATAGATTTATATGGGACGATGCACTGGGAAGCAATCCCTTGCATGAATCTCAGTACGCCTATCAGTCGGGAAGGTCTACTGTACTCGCTCTGCAGAGTCTGGTCGGGGTCCTCGAAAAGTCACGAGGTGCGGGAGGTGATCTGTGGATGTCATCTGTGAGTCGTTGCACAAACGAGGGATTGATGCGACGACTAGCAGATGGGTTAATCGGATGCTACAGGATAGGATTATTAAGTCCACCATAGCTGACGATATACTCTTCATCTCCGCTGTAAAAGGATGTCCGCAGGGCGGGGTTCTTTCGCCCCTCCTGTGGTCCATTGTAGTGGATGATCTAATCGCTGCTCTCAGGGGCTCCGGGGCGCGTGTCTTGGGATACGCCGACGATGTGGCCTTCGTCGTGCGGGGAAAATTTGAGAGCACTATTTCTGATCTTCTACAGCAAAATTTACGTGTTGTGGAAAGGTGGTGCAAAGGCGTTGAGTTAAATATAAATCCAAGCAACAGCACTTTAGTCGCCTTCACCAGACGCAGAAGCAGGGACAGATTAACAAGCCCAATTCTGATTGGTGAACGTATTAGTTACTCGAGGGAGGTGAAGTGTCTGAGGGTAACCCTCGATGATCGTCTCTCTTGAAATACCCATATAGATAGAGTTATCGAGAGAGCTACGGCGGCCTTGTGGACGTGTAGGAGCTTCATCGGGGGACCTGGGGAATTAGTCCCAGAATAGCACTGTGGCTATATACGGCCCTTGCTAGGCCCATCGTCACCTATGCGTCGATTGTATGGTGCCGCAAGGCTCAGCAGGCAGGTTGAAAGGCTACAGAGGCTGGCCTGCCTGGGAGTGACCGGGGCAATGCATTGGAGGTGATGATCGGATTGCCGCCACTGCACCTCCATATATTGAAGGAAGCTTGGCTAGTGACTTACCGACTTCTCTCAGGCAAGGACGGGGCAAGGCTAAAGTTGGCCCACAGAACTCACAGAGATTTCATTGAGAGCGATCCGATTCTAAGAATAACCATGTCGGATACCTGTCTACCGCGGTACAACTTCGACCACAGGTACAGGGTTCTGTTTCCCGATCGATGGACGTGGGATCGGGGTGGTCCGGTACTTAGGTCGGGTTCGAGCGTGTGGTATGCGGACGGGTCCAAAACGGAGTCGGGTGTGGGTTCGGGCGTATACGGTGTCCGCCCGGATACGTGTGTATATGCAACCCTTGACCCGTATTGCACAGTGTTCCAGGCCAAAATACATGCAATAGAGATCTGTCTGAGAATCAATTTGGAAAGGGGGTATAGAAACCGCACCATCTATGTGTTCTCAGACAGCAGGGGTGCACTGCTGGCGCTTCGTTCAGCTCAGGTTACATCCAAGATGGTCTGGAGCTGCCTTACTGCACTTACTGGAATTGGTATCGGAGAACAGAGTGACGCTCATTTGGGTGCCAGGCCATAGTGGCCATGCGGACAACGAAGTTGTCGATTAGCTGGCGCGGAGGGGATCTGGGGCTGACTTTGTGCAGCCGCTGCCTTTCTGCGGTCTGCCTTCTTCCGTCGTGGGGGTCAGGCTTGCCTGCCTGCTCGCGGCGGAATGCGGACGTCACTGGCGGGACACGAAAGGGTGCCGTCATGCGAAAGTGTTTCGGCGTGCTCCAGCGGATTCACCGCAGAGTTGCTGGGGATGAGCAGGAACCGGGTTCGCACTATTGCGAATTTCTTCACGGGGCACTGCTCAGTGAAGTACCACATGCATAGGCTGGGGAAGTCGGGCTCCCCCTGTGCAGATTTTGTGGGGATGGCGATGAGACCGCCGTGCACATTCTCTGCGACTGTCCGGCACTGGCTGTTCGGCGCCGCAATTGTCTTGGACGTGGGTCCCTAAGTGTTCCGGAACTGTTTTCCAACTCCCTTAGGGATATCTCCGGCTTTGTAATTGGGACGGGGATATTATAGACTGGAGAGTGGGGGGGCTACAATAAGTCAAAAATAGCTGCGGTGGCTTGGGGGGTTACTCCTGTCCCACTCGGTTCCCTTAGAATCTACATTAAAATGGTTCTGAATTCCATAATTTTTAATACAAAATGTATTCAATGATTTAAAATGCTATAAAAATCTAAAATCCAGAGTTAATAAAGCTAATATGTGACAAGATGACAATGGCATTATAATATTTTGGAATTTCTCTAAATTTCTCAATACTTGTGAACACAATAGTATGAAGTTAATCAGCGAAACGGTAGAAAACTTATTGTGGTGATTCCGAGGTGGTAGCTCACCTACGACTGGGATGTTTCAGAAGAAATTTGTGACCCCGATAGAAGGCTCTCGGCTTTTGCAATTGAGGGGTCTAGATGTATTGCTAATGGGAATCACAAAAGATCTTATGGATTGATGTGAAAAGGGCCTGAGGGACACGGTCTCGTACGAGGAATAGGGAGTGAAAAAATTAATTGACATGGTACTTCATCCAATTCTTATATCTAACGTCGGTATGCGGGATCCAATTATAATGGATTTTAACACACCTTAAAGTGTACAATACTCGTATTAAATTGGGATAATTAATCACACCAGAGATTACATATGGGTATATATTATACTACTGAGCATGTGTGAGCATAATAAGAGTAGTGAGCATAGAGAGTAGCTCCACTTATCACACCCAGCAGTCAGCACACCCCATTGGGATACAAATTCGAGTATCATGCGCAGATCGATTTTCCGCAGTTCTCTTGCTGCAAAGATGCGTTGAAATTTCCTCTATTTTCCGACAGAACCTGAAAGTGACCTCGCCTTTCATTAAGAGGTAATAAAAAAGATTTAATAAGGATTTCTCTAGACAATCATAAATTTAAGTTTGTTTTTTTTTTTTATTAGTTGCCACTTAGCAAGTTTTCTTTCAAAATGGCTGCGTATTTTTCTTTCTCAGAAATATTTTATTTAATGTGATCATCATCAACATTTCAATTTATTATTAAAAAGAATAAAAAAGGAAATATTGAATAACGTATATTCTATGATAATCATGAATAAAAAATTTAAATAAAAATTATGGAAAATATAAAATCCTGGTAACTGAACTCTATGTATGATAATCCATAAAAAAATATGATATAAGAACATAAGAAAGTAACAAAAATACACGTGTACATAGTTTACAGCACAATACCGATAATATTAAGTATGTCGCCAAATTCGATTACCCCGTTTTTGGCCAATTTTTAGTTCTATAATGAAAATTAATTGAAAACTATTGAATTTTTATTACAACAAGATCTGTTGTCATAAACTGATTAAAGGAATTTCTATTAGTATTGTTTCTAATATGGTGGTCATACTTCAAGTTCGCCGTTCAATTTTCTAATTATTTAAAATTAACGCGCAAGCAATACTAAAATCCACGGTGTGTTTTCATCATTTGGAGCATTGCCAAGTTTTTAAAGTTCTGCAAAGTTTTTTTTTTCGAAATTCTACTGTATATATCCATTAAATCTACATTTATATATTTGATTTGTATTTGATGTTATAATAATGATTACATACATAAACAAACATATTATATTTGTAAAAATAAAAAATGAGAAAAAAAAAACAATAGCATGTCACCATGTAAACATATTTTTCATGTTTTTTTCTTTTTACTGTTTTTCCCCCGTTTTTCAAGGACATCACAATAATTCCTTTTATGTTTACACATGGCATTTGTTTGTTTATTTTAATGCATGAAATTGTATTAATTTAAATAAATATATAATATTTTTTATAACACAACATATACATACGTACTAATAAGCAAATAAAATATTTTACCTTCCAGTTAATTCCCTAATAACAGCATTTAATTCTTCACTAGGAACTGCTGCCGCTGTTGTTTCCTCTTCTTCTTCTTCACTTTCCATGAGACGGCTGAATTTAAATAAAAAAAACCAAAAAGAAATAAAAAGTTTATAATAAATTGTAAGTAAATTCATAATTAGACTGTAGAATAATATCGAGATTCACGTTTATAAGGAGACGTAACCAATTGTATTGTCTGAGGAGATCGATTCATTACTAATAATAATATTTTAAGTCTATTGATAGATTGGGCGGTTTACACGAGTGATTGCTACTTATACTCGACCGACTTTTCAATTTGCAAAAACGGTCACGATCTTTTATATCCCTGTTTTTCACTTGGACCATTTTACACAAACCCGTCAATAGAATTGAGTTCAACTCATATAGTTGATCGTTACGAACATCGCTTCCTTGCCATGAAGTTTGTAGCCGAAGCTATTGTCCACAACATGACAATATTACCTATTGTTTTGGTCATCATATAGACCTATACTGACACGTTTTGTTTTCCGAAATATGAAAAATACATACTTACATTGCTTTTGCTTTTGCTAATTCCAGTGCAGTTACCCATGATTGGCGTTCTCTTTCATTTGCCGCTTTTATATGAAATGTTTGTGTACCGCCATTTGATATAACAAATGTGCATGAATCAACTGTGTGTATTAGAGCACCATGTAATGATATCGTTCCACGGCAAGTATGTGACATTTCTGCTTGATTTCTAATATTGTTTGAAATATTATTTTTTAGTTTTCAACGCAAAAAAAAAAATATAAATAAATATTAATTAAATTTGATCAAAAATGTTGGAAATTATAGTTAAAATTTCTACTATGGTCAAATAGGGAAAATCCCAAAATAAAAATTAAACAAAATTAACTACCATCTAGTGGTTAATAAGAGAAATATAATATAGACGTCACACATTCGGATTTCAAAGTAGATTTTCGATTGACGTAAAATTTTTTTCAATAACTGACCAAATCTTATTCCATACTTAAAAGTATCTAAATACTAAACGAAAGAAAAATGATTATCGGCGAAAATAATTTCGAAAAATTTCGAAAATTTTCGAAAAACTAGAATGTGTGATTTCCATATTTTTTCATAATAATATGATTAGTCTGCTTAAATAATTCAGTATTATTAATAAATTAAAATAAAAAATTAAAACAAACTAAAAAAAAAAAGCTTGCACGAAATTTAAATTAAAAAAAAATTAAAATAAAAAAGAAAATTATTAAAGAGATTCAAATATTTTTAAAATGAATTAAGTAGTGTCAAAAGATGTGGGCTATTTTTTGTTTTTAAAGAAGTTATGATAATATCAAAAAATCAAAAAGCACACTATACGCCTTCTCAAGTTTCCCCGAATGTGACCTAATTGGAGAACTTATTCGACTTCATACTTAAGCCCCTATCTCTATTGCCAAAACTGCAGAGAATTTAACGAATTCATACTCTAGTATTTTGTTTATAATCATAAAAAAAGAATTCTTCTGAATTTACTGACATAAACTCATAGTCGAGCTATGTAACACTTGTGCTATTCTATACCAATCTGTTAATTAGAAGAGTATGATGCTCTCTTCTTTTAAAAAAATTTTAACTTTGTGAACTAATTATAAATTATAAAACATAACAGAAAAACCTTTCAAGTCAAATAATTGTTAATTTTCAATCAAAAGAAAATAATTTCAAATCAAAGAAACATTAAAAACAAAATCCTACAATCAACTACGGAAAGACTCTATAATATTGTTTTATTTCCTTTTATTGGAAATTACTTCAAACATACAGTCTTTAAAGACTTCATTCTAGTAGAATGAAGTCTTAAAATTTAATTTGAATTAAATTTTAAATTATTAAAACCGGAAAATATTCAATAAGTTTTAGCACAAATTTCTTTTGAATTTTATTTTTATTATAAATATGGAAAAGAATCTCATACCCTTACTATATTGTATTATGTAGTTGTTTTGCCTTAATTTTAATCAAAAATTCAAATTATATAAAATTCTAGAATTTCGATTATAAATATAGTATATGTATATTCATATTTAATTTATACAATAGAATATAATTGTATAGGCATACGTACTTATTTATAACTATATAAAAAAAACTTATATAATAGTGCAAGCTTAAAAACATAAAGCCTAGTATATACATATTGTCGGTCTGTTTAGAGAAGTTTGCAAGTTAAAACCATTTTTGTTCTCTAAAAAGCTCTAGAAAGCCAATCTTGTTCAATTTAAATATTAATTAGCGTGCGGTAAAAACATATGTATCTCTGCAAAATTTGCGTCTTCAAATTACCGCTTTAACAACACACGGGCGAAAAGATGGGCGGTCGGACCGACGAATGAACGAATGCACTGGGAATTAACGGACGAACGGATGGACGCGATCGACGGGTTAATGTACGAGCAGACGCATGATGTTTAAAATTTGTATTTTTGACGATATTTTAGAAGATAACACAAGCTTATAGGGATAAATCCATCAGTTTTATAATACCTTTTGCTCAGAAAAGTTGGAAAGTTTCACAATTTTCAATATTTAATTTGCTTGAACAAATTTTTAAAACTGGTGTAAACTAGGCTTTATATTTAATAACTTATTCAATAAATAATAAAATTTAAAATTTTACAATCAAATTTCATTTATTTATTTCGAAATTTGTAGAAAAAGTTTTAAATATTAAAATACATATAAATATGAAAATATTATTAAGGAATTTTATTAATTAAAGGACAAGAGTATAAAAACAATAATAAACATTAAATATTTTCAAAAATAAAAAATAAAAAAGAATTATAAAAATGGCAAAGGGTTAATAAAAATTTAATTTTTATTGCATTTTTTTTTTCAAGCAAAACATTTCAATGTAAATTAGTTACAGTGCTGTGCAATATTTTATAACTACCATTTCTATTTTATTATCATGTTAGAAAAATACACAAGGAATAAGTATTTATAAAAAAACAAAAAAAAAGTATTAATAAGAAAATTAAATGTGGATTAAGTTATTTGTTAGTACGTATGTATTGGAATGAAAAAAAAATCAAATTAATTGTTTGAACAGTAATGTAGGAAAAACAAACACAAAATGTTTATGTTCAAAATGGATTTTAAACACAAAACTTAAATGTAATATTATAATGGGACTATATATATATATACATATATATATGTAGTACAGGTTTCTGAAATATAAAAGTAGTATAATACAATTGCATTTTATATGTAACCCCTTGCGCTTCTTCTGCATCTCAAAAATTCCACGCTATAGAATGTGTAGTGAGTTAAATTCATAATCCGATAAATTTTTAATCAAAAAATCGGATGACATCGTGTGGGTCACACAATTTTCGAGATATTAAATTGCCACTTGAGAATATGACTCTTATATATTACGTTAACTCATATATTCGGAAGTCATATATTTAGACTATATATTTTCAATAAAATAGTCTCTCTTCTACTTCTCCCTTCAGAGAGAATATATTTTTTTCTCTAACTTTCACTTTGTTCGCTTTTGTACTTGAAACAAATGAATTATTTAATATTTTCTCATTTGATACTCCAACTACTTATGTATTTATTGTTCGAAGAAACCTATTCGGATCTACATTAATGCGCAAAGGGTTAAATCAACAAAACGTTTATATAAAAATGCACGTATACAGAAATATTTTAAAAGTTAGAGTAAAGTGTGCAGTGTTAAAGTTAATTGAACATTCTTGTTTTTGATTTAAAAAAAAGGGTTCTTTTCAATATCAGGACAATATTAAAATAAAAGATACATTTATGTAAATATCATTATTTCGCCCAAACAAAGAAAAAAACTAATTTCGAATTTTTAAAAATTTTTTTGCACATCACTGTGTTTCAACTTAAAAAAAAAAAGAAATTATCATTCAATATCAAAAATAATTTTTTTTTACAATTTGTATTACAAAACGTAAACAAGGGGTGGGGATAAAAATTTATTTTTAAAACAATAATTTTCAATACCTTGGTATTATATGGTTAAGTTGATGAGAATAAAACCTAGATATTTTTATAATTTTGAGCATAATTTAAAAAAAAAAACGGTAAAAAAAGAGTAGAAAAAAATTTGAAAAATTATTTTTTATTTAATTTTTAAAAATTTTTTAATTTTTTTTTTTAATTCGATTTCCAAAGTGTTTATACCAAAAAATATAAGCATACACTGGTTTAAGTAAAAAATAAGCCCTAATACGCCGTTCGAAAATAATCACACATAATACCTTAATGGGTGAAAAATTATCCACTAACTTTTTACTTATAAATAACATAAAAATACTTTGCCAGCACATCATCAATCTGATTATCGTGTCAACCATTTTCATTTAAGTGCAATCTCACGTCAATCATTTTTATTAAAAAACCAAAAAATGGCAACCCCTTGCGTTAGCAATAAAAACTGGAATCCATAACGCTAGCGACAAAAGGTATTGCAATGCATGACATTTGTAAGTTGTACGTAAAATTACCATGTATTGAGTGTAATAAGTTTCACCCGAACGACGGATTAGGGTTAATTTTTCTGTTTTAATTTAAAACTATTCAAATTTCATTTAACCTAATATTTTCTACTCTATTCAAATTGTAAATGTACCAATAAAAAAAAATCTAATTTAAATTTCTTCATCACAATCAAAATAAAGTATTTATATAAACAAAATGAACAAAAACTTAAAAAAAAAAAAGTTATTAAAAAAACTCTATAACTGTGAATAATTTGACAAATTCAATTATTTTCTAAGTCAATATTGAATACCTTAAATAATTTAAAACATAAATTCAATATTTCTGAATAGTACCAAAGAAAAAATTACATGTATAATTTTAATATTGACCACATGCAAATTCTATGGTAGAGAGAAAAACATTTCTAATTTAAGATCAATGCAAAACTATAAACTAAATTAAAATGATATCAAAAATTTAATTTTATTCGAATAAGAAATCGAATTACTGGGATGACTTAAACCTTCTAGTTCCTGTATGTAGTTTAAAAGTTGCTTCAGAACTAATATTTTGGTAGTGAGGTTAAGAAAACTTTTGAAAACTTCAAACATATTTCAAGGTTGAATCAGAAACAATTTTACTTGAAATACTAGATCACTGATATAGAGAACAATCAGCAATATGGAGAACAATTTCGAGATAATTTCTTAATACCTCTGTAGCTAAGTTGTCAGAGCGCCCGCCTAGAAAAAGTTAAGATACTGATTCGACTCTTTAAGGAAAAAAATTGTTTTAATTTTCTGCCTTGACTCGTTGTTTTGGAGCGTCACCCATCTGTTTTGCAGTTGTATAAAGGAAGTTTCATTGTTTATAAAAAATTAATAAGAAAAAAATATAAACAACTACAAGTGTTATTGTTCATTGGTATATAGATATTATTAAGTTACAGTAACTGTAACAATGTTTTGGAAAATTTGTTTTGCAATGTTATCCACATTCGGGCTTCAGCATTATAATAATCTCCCAAATTAGATTACTAAAGGCCATTTTACCTGAAAATAATTTTCTTAAATTTTTAAATTCCCTACCATCAAAAACTGTAAACTTAAAAAGTGCTTAATTTAAACTCGAAACAATAACAAGGTTCGCCACAAATAAATAAAAGTCGGCAGTTTATTTTATTTTTCCCTTTGTTTCTGTTGTGTTTTAAGTAAATATTTAAAGAGAACACAATAGACGTGTGATATTTGAAAGTATAAGTGAGCACGTCTGACATATGTTTACTTACCCCCTCCCCCCCCCTCCCCCCTTCCCCCTTCCCAATCCATGTTTCCATGTTTCACGATTGCAATTACAAAAAAAAAATTTTTTTTTTGCCTTTTATGATTGACTTGTTGAAATATTGCTTTTAATACCGAAACACACAAATGTTTAAGCAATTCAAAATTGACATAAAACATTTTTATTAAATTATATAGAAAAAAATCAAAACAAAAACTTTAATTTTACCTTTCATTTTCCTCATACATTCACACATACTCGTATATCCTTTCAAACATACATTTATTTATTTATTTATTTTAGAATGATTTCATTGTGTGTGTAAATACATATGTGTGATTATAATCTAACCATTATACATAGTTGATAAATATGTATACGAGTATCAGAACAGAATTGCTACACGACAGTAGCAACAAGAATATTTCAAAAAATTTTCACATAAGCACTTATTTTTGTAACAAAGAAGAATATTTCAATACAAATGAGAGAGTCTCAATATTTAAATTCATACTACACACTACACAGCAAAATTCTCCCCGCTTTCCATTTTCTGTTTTATGTAATATTGATTTTATCTCAAAAATAAATGAATTACAAGTACGAAAATTATATTATTTCGAGTAATATTATTTAGCACCTTAAATGTATGCAAATTTTTAATAATTTCATGAAAATTCAAAATACCAAACTAATTTAAATTTCCCAATACATAATATAATAATTTTATCGTAAATAAGAAAAAAATTATTAAATTTTCGAGTTCGCGGGTATACATACGTACGTACAAAATCGCAAAATATTAAAAATTCAAAATGAAAGGAGCACAAGAAAATTTTAATAAATAATTTTTCTAAGACGTTTTAAAATATTATAAGGCAAAAATTTAGAGTGTTTCAGAAAAAAATTTATTTGTGAAACAAAACGTCAGCAGTAAATCTGCACCAAACTCTAATAATATATCCAATCGCCTTTTAACAATTAAAAATGTAACACGCACGTAATACAATTTATTTTTAACTAAATATAGACGGTATACAATTAAATACAATTCCGTTAAATTCAAGTCGTGTTTGAATTTGAATTTTTAATTTGTAAATTGCATACATCAAGGCAAATGGTAATAATTGCATAGACATAGGCGTTTGTAAATGTTAGAATTGTAAATTTCGAGAATTTTTATAATAAAATTCAATTAATATTTAATTTTAAACATTTGCTAATAAATTACATTCTGCATTTTAGTTTAAAAGAGAAAATACACTAAATTTCCAAAAGCAAACCATATATATACGCTCTTTTAAAAAATAAAATCCGAAAACAATAAACGAAAAGGCAACCAAATTTTTCGTTCATCTTTCGTATCCTCTTACTTTCAAACTTTTTTCAATAAAATAAGAATTTCTTCTAAAAAAACAAAATTATAAAAAAAAAAATTTATGAAAATAATTTGGAAAAATGGAAGTGTGGTGACAGGTGCTTGTCAAAAAAGGAAACTTTTCTTTTTGATTTCTTCATTTTCTGTTTAATAAATGAAACTTTATCAAATTTTTTTCGGTACATTTAAAAGTCAAAAACGAAATCACTTTATTAAAAAAAATATGAGAAAAAATTGAATAGAATTCATCGAAAATTAATACAGAAAAATTCTCGGGAAAAAATAAAATTTTTAAAATTAATACTCAAAAAAAAACTTCGAAAATACTTTGAAAATAAAAGTTATTAAATATTATTTCCGAAAATTTTATTCGAAGAGGTTGATATCTCTGGAGAAAACTTCATAGAGCGAGATGGAAGGAACAATTTCGCCAAACTTCGTGAAACACATTCGAACTATTTAAATTAGTTAATTTAATGTATAGAGTTACAATCGAGTTTCTTGTTCAGATATAGATGAAAAAAAAATTCTCAAACGAATGTAGTACACCATATCCGTTTTCTTAATGATGTAACCAACAATTTTTATATAGAATCTTACAGGTCAATATGAAAACACAACCTTTATTACTTTATGAAATGAGCTTTGAATTTTTCACTAATGCTAACATAATAACATCGATAATTGTTTAATAGCAACCCCTTGTCGAAGTGGTATTCAAGTCCGGGAACGTATAATAAACTATAAAAGAGCGTAATAATAAAATAAATTTAAATAAAATTTGTAAACATTTTAATTAACAATAATAAAAGAAGAGGAAGGACCGAAAAATAGAATAATACGGAGAAAATAAAATATAAGAAACCTTAAAACTAAATTAAAATACATTTTAAATAATAAAACAATATAGAAAAATTCTTTCCTCACCCTTCAATCTTGAACCATTAAACAAAGAACTCCTCAGTCGAAAGTGCTAATTTTTTAATGAAAAAAATGTTCATGATAAATTGCACACAAGTATAGAAACATACCTACATATTTTCTTATCACTACATCTATTAATAATCTATATAGAGAACCGACAATATTGCGATCGAATGGACGCCTTTTGAAAAATGTATCTGGTGTAAGAAAAATCAAGTGTTTTCCAATATTAAAGTCAAAGGATTACAAACAATTGTGTCATCTTATACCTATGACCAAATTTGTGAAGTAACAGATTCGTCGTTGTAAAAATAATACGCGGTAAAATCTAATTTTGACATACGATCATTTGTTTGCGGGGCGACTCATCTTCCTGGCATGTTCGCCAATCAGACAGTGCTCATATTCTCTCGTGTAAAAGATACCGGGTCTCTTAAGCGACGAGCCTAGCTTTGACCACAACTTCCTTGTCGCATTGCATCTTGTTCCATTTACTCATCTGAGGTTAGTTCAGTTGCGTTACGCAGCAGCAGCATTTGTTCATTTAGAGGCTACCTTACGTCCAAGCTCTCAACTTTAGAAGTTCCATGTGTCGCAAATTCGTCCGCCTTATAGTTCGCCAGTTCTCCACTATATCCGAGAATTCAAACCAAATTTAAACTCGAACTGACCAGCCATTTCGTTAAGAGATAGAGTAAAAATTCACGCTTATAGCTGTATATGAAGATATTAACACTGCTCGCAGGTATCACATTATCACAAAACCCACGCTGTGCCTCCCTAATCTCGATTTCCTTAGTTTGAAAGACACATGGTAAAATTAAAAGCCTTTCCAAAGCAACACACAAAAATACACAAGTCCAAACAAGTCCAAACAAATCTGGGATATTCCAGTGATTTTTTGTGTGCTAAGCGTGATTTGTAACTTTTAGACGTACAACCAAATCCTTAATTTTTTTGGACAATTTTCAAAAGACTTGCCACGAAAGCCTAAAGCAAATATGATCAACAACCATACTATTAACTTATTTTGCGTAAAAGTAACATTCATCAATCCGGGAACACAACTTTAAAATCTACCATCATATGACTTTAGTTAAAATAGATTGACAATCACTATAACTTAACATTCAATTACTTAGATTCAAATCAATTCAACGTTTCGACTTTCTACCATATAATAAAATTTTATTAGTGCACGCGACATTTTCAAATCGATAAAAATGTAACTACGAGTATAAAAAGTGTTCTTCTCTCTTCATCATCTTTCCATTTGAAACTTTTATAACCGTATTTGAAACAATTTTTATTTTTATTTTATGCTTTTTGCTTTGTTCTCTGTAATTTCCTTTTCTTTTGTTTTCCATTTTCCAAACCATAAATGAATTCCGCACTAACTAAGTAAAATTTTACATTATAGAACCTATGGGGGAATTTAAAATGTTTTAAGCAAGTATAACAATGTAACAATGTAAGTAATTTTTAAAAGGAGATGAAAATATTTTATTAAGTATATAGAATTCTGATTGGTTTATAAATCATATATTTACAAAAGTAAACAAAGGATATCGCATAAAAGGAAAATTTGAAAAATTTTAAAATAAATTTACTTTAAATTAGGTTGAACAATTTCTAAAAAAGTGCAATAAATAAACAAATCATGTCATATTTTATACCCAGAATTTATTAGATCTTGCTTATTGTGTTATACGACAAAGCAAGTAATTTAAATTTAAATGAAAGATTGAATATTCTAATATCATTGAAATAGTTCTAATAAAATTGGTGACATATAGAGCAAACCAGAATTTATTAGTCAATAAATACACTTTGCATGAAAATTACTCCAATTACTTATTCGTGTATAAATTATTTTTAAGTTTAGAAAGAAATTTTAATTTTATTTCATACTTCTTTCCAACATGTTTGACAAGACTAAATTAAATTTCAATGTGAGTAAAAAATAATATTACGTCCTCTTGCATATTTTAAGGCGCTTCATACTTATTCGCAATTCCATCCAATTGTATTTGATATAATTTCTAGGCTCAATACAAAAACCAACATGCTTATACTTATATTGCAGGAATTTCGGATTGACGCAGTTTTACAAAACAAAAAACAATGGTTAAAGTACAAATAAGCTAAGACAAACATATTGTAACATAAGTAAGTGTAATAAATAAATAATTTTTTAAATCAGTAATTTTCTGTTAATTAATGTGTTTTTCAGCTTTGGGTGAAATATTTTAATATTATTATTGAATTTAAACTTTTTCCAATATTTATTCCGATATCCATCCAATTACAACGTTCTTGAATCCAACATCAAGCACAAAATATAGATTTAACAATATAAAATTTTATAATAAACGCTGTAATTAAGTAAAATAATTATTCAATAAATCGGTTATTCAAATAAAAAAAGAGAAAAAATTCAATAAATTATCAACATCTGGAAGAATATGAAAAAGGATACAAACCGCATATTTCAATCGACTACAGTTGAGGGCACAATATAAAATTTTTGGGAGCGAAAACGAAAAAAAAAAACCAAAATTCATGGTACATTAATTATATTACATTAATAAATTATTTTAATGGTGTGTAATTCATTCGTAAAATTATCAATACACACAAGATATTGATAGTCGTAAAGTTCTGTAATCTGATATTAAATTTATTACTTAAATTATATGCTTGCAATATAATATTTAAACTGTAAGGACTGAAAGAAAATTTTTAATAACATATTTTGTAAGTTGATTATATATTTATTTACCCTATTAACAAGAAATCGAGTTTCGAATGGAAAAATTCTGTAATCTTCATCTTTAGAAACGTCAATCGCCAATATTTAATCCCACTTGAAAAGTTTATTAAAAAAAAGCCAATTCTAAAATTTTCGAATCCGCATTTTCGGAGATATCCGGGTTTGAAAAATTCATACAAAATTGTACTTGAAATTCAAAAATTCTAATTAATTTACGCCTCTTTACAAAAATCTTTCAAGATAATTTCATTTATTTTGATAATTTCAAAATTTTCTATAAAATTTTCCATTACATATTAGATTACCATGTAATGACTAGTTCTTAAAACATACATAAAATTAAATCAAAGTAAAAATTAACTTGATATTTACGAAAAACAAAAATAAATTGAATTTAGGTTCCTTTTTCTTTAAATTAAATCAAATATGTTTCAAAAATTTATTAAATTCCGAAAATTTTTCATCTTTTCGAATTATAGGTATTTGTAAATATAAATCTATATGTTTATGTAGTTAAAAAATTAATATAGAGTTACTGAAATGTGTATTGCACGTATACATTACATAGATACACATAGAGAGACATACTTCTAAGGTATATAAACATTGGAATTCTTTAGAGTACCTTTGCTTACATATGGTTTTTTTACTTTAACAACTATAATAATTATAAAAATTATATTAAGTCAACTATGCATCGTATTTGAAATTTTATTTATATACTTAGTGACCTGGTGAAAATGTCAAGCCTCTCAGGAGGTGATTCGCTTGAGTTTTTTAGGAAAAAAAAAGTCGTATGTTTGGGGAACTCGGACATCTAGAAGTAGTTTTAATAACTTGGGAGTAGTAAACAAATTCTGTCTGACGAATATCCAATATAAATTTCAAGCGATTGAGCAAAGTTGTGTTCGAAAATTTTTTAATCAATTGATAGACGTTCTCAACAGTATGTCGATGATTGGTGTTAGACGTCCGTTTTCATGCAATAGCTGCTCAAATATAAAATTTTCAATTGAAAAACTAAAAATTTTTCAAAAGAACGCTAATTACCTCAAAAAAGTCCACCATTTTTTCCACCCATGACCTTCTTCAATTTTGCTACACATAACTTTCATGGCACGCGTGTCCCAGGAAAAGTGATAATTTATGTTATCCCACCCTTCACCCCATACGATTTTTTTCCTAAAAAAAACAACTTCCGAGAGCTTTAAAACTTCAACCGCACCAACCTGTACATATACAAAGTTTATTAAATGGTTCTAATATGAAATAATAAAACCAAGTAGCTGTGTATACTCGAAAACAAATTTATTTACATTTTTTTCATGAATTGTTAATGAAAATTTTTCTCTTTTACATACACATAAAATTGAATTTGCTAAATTGTAATATTAAAAGGGAAATTATAATTGTATATGTAAGTAAGTATTTTAATTTAATTTGTTAAGAGGGAATATAAGTACAAACGCATATGTACATACTTTTATGAAAGTATGTATTTTATGTATATAGGTTTACATAATATTTATATAAAAATATTGATTTTTATTTTCAGATTATATCCGAGGATTAGGTCATTCTTTAGTAATAAAACTATTTTTGTATATTTGTATTTGTATTTTATTATTTTGTTTTTTGCTATTCTTAATCTATTTCATATAAGAAAATTAAATAATAGGATTTTAAAGCTGTACGACTATATTTGAGTTCTAAAAAAATTAAATTTGATTTGTTAAAAATTATTCAAGAAAATCGGAAACTTTTTCAAAAAAAAAAAAAATGTAACACATAATTTACAAATGTAATAAAATTGCATACTTTAAGGCAATTATTTACTGAAATTTAGATTGAGCGCAAATTTAAAGGCTAAATTGCGAGCAGAACAAAAAATCATTCTTTTTTATCAATTCAGCCTTCATAATTGTCATTTTTTCTCTAAAATGCTAATTTCAATGTTAGCGACACTCTTTAACTCTTTCGGTAATTCAGAACGTATTTATTAAATCAGATAATTAGAAAAACCAAATTTATTTATATTTTTTACGATAATAATCAAATATTAAGGATCAAAACCAATTTAGCAAATATGTGAAAAAAACACAAAAAAATAATTTTATAAAAATGCGCTTTATCACACATTTTTGTACATTCTAGCGAATTACTAATAAAACACAACTATAGCTATAACACAATTCACTCGGAAATCTAAAAACACAAAACTAAGCGAAAATAAAAATAAAAGTATTTCTTTTATTTTACTGACATTAAATTTTTTACGCAAAAACATAATCGGCGGCATTTCCATGCACTATAAGATAAAAAAAATCCAACAGAATTTGAGAGAAAAAAAAGAAAAGCAATTTATTAGTTGATTTACCTTTGACAGAAAAAAAAAAATTATTAAAAAAACTTTTATTTTCTCTTAAAATATTTTCAATTACAACTCATTTACATAATTTACACATTATTTATTTTTAAATTTTTAAACAGAACCACTACACAGCTATTGTTTAAAATCAATAGTACTATTATATACATAGAGCGAATTCTCAAAGAAATGCGGCGAATTAAAATGTGATATGACATAAGTAAGCGAAATCGCCAGAAGTATAAAAAATTTCTTTTTACATAGGTAATTTCAAAACATACTCCCGATACTATACAATGTTGTCATTAACTAAAATGTTAGCGAATTCGCCAGCTTGATAAGTTAGCGATTTTATCATATACATATGTATAATAACTAATAATACATATTATAATCGCCATAATTAAGATTTGCAGATAAAAATTTTATAAAAATTAAGTTTTGATACTAATTTCATATTCAAACAAAAATTTCAAATGTTTCCGCCCTCAGATGTGCGATTTTTATTTTTTCACATATACGCATCTGTACATATACAATGTTAAAAGTTTATTTTATCTTACAACCTATTAATTTCTGCAACATCAAACTTAAAAAACCAAATTTTTGTGAAAATAACCCAAATATAAGATTTTAAATTAAATCTCTACGTGTACGAAATAAAATCTACGTAATAAATAAAATTTAATAAAGTCTCTACTCATAATGAGAACTTAAAAGAAAGAAAAAATTAAAATTAAATCATCATGCAAATTTATTAAAAATAATTTCCTTTTTTGGCAAATTTCCCAAAAATAAAATTCCCATAATAAATGATTAAGAAAATATAATCATGGCAATTTTCTTTTCACTGATAATTGAAAAAAAATTATGTAAATGAGTCGCAAAATAATTTAATTTTTTGCAAAGAATCTAGAAAAGAAAAAGAAGAACTAAAGAAATTCAAAATTCCTTAAAAATTTAAATTCCGTTTATAATAGCTACTAAAAAATCATGACCAAAATTATGAATTCATTTATTGAGTATATTTTAAAATATCTGTAAACGACTAATATTTTCAATTTAAATAAGAAATTTTGTATATTTTTAATATTTTGTTTATTTTTACATAATTGCATTTTATTGAATCCTATACTATTCTTATAATTACTTTAATTTTACAGAAATTTAGGAAAATTTTATAATTTTTTATTTGCCATCAATTACATCATTCTTGGAGAATTAGTACTCATATTTCAGAGATTGGAGGATAAATACTCATATATTAGAGTTATACAAATTATTTGGCAAATCACCAAAAAATACCAAAAATCAAGAACAAAATATTAAAGAAAAATTGGCCGTTTACAGAAATTTTAGTTTTTTTGTTAAATTGCATTAAATTAAAGTATAAAACTTATAGAAATTAAATTTTATTTTCAACTTTGTTGCAACGTTATCCTTAATTACATATATGACTAAATTTTGTTATTATAATTAAATATTTGAAAAAATATTTTTAGTTATTTGTATATATACATAGTATACATAAAAAATTATGTTTATTATAAAAGAAATATTTTGCTACTCATACAATTTAGTGGATTTGTTTAATTATTCTTAAATATACTTAAAAAGTTCGAATTGTAAAATTGGCTATAACTACATAGTTACGTGCAAAATAATTTTGTTTATTCTATTTTGCAAAATTATAGAATATTGTAAAAGAACTAGTCTAAATAACTTAAAATGTAAAAAACTAAAGAAAATCAAGTAATTTCTTTTACTAAGTAATAACGAGTACATATTTAAGTAATTACTTAATATTCACAGCGAATATATTTGTTTAATTACGCATTTTTTGATTATTTTGTGCTAAACCTATACAATGTACAAAAATTTATAAGTAAAGAAAAATTAAAAAGTAATCAAAACTTTAATTACAAATGTACTTGTTTTTATTTCAGCTCCGAATACAAGTAACGTATTATATATTTCCTCACTAAAATTTTAAAAAATATATCACCAATTTGTATCACAGTTCATATCACAAAAAAAAAACCTGTTTCATATTAAATGTTTGAATAAGTATTAAAAAAATATACTGCAATGAAATTATTTTTGCAAGAACATTAACGAGAATATGAGTGTCAGACACACTGCTGGCAACTGGAAATCTAAATATTTTTAGCTCACTAATTTGCATTTGATATTAAAAAACTCAAAGAGTCATCAGACCCTTTTAAAACTTTTAATTTAAAATTCCGAAATTTTTTATCTACATTTAGACATTTATAATATTATAACGGTTTACGATAATTTTTAATAATTAGGTGAGGTGAGTTTTTTAATGTTTTTTTTATTCCAAAATTTTAATATTTTTTAATTTATGAAAAATATAAATATATATGTATATGTAAATAAGAATATTCTTTGGTTGTTTGTTGATTTTTAAGAATTTTTGTTTAAGTAAGTACTCGTATAAGTATATACAACTAGAAAAATTTAAATTAGCCTTCAAATTTTAAAAAATCAGATGAAAATATTTTTAAAATAAAATTTTTTAATATTTGAATTTATACTTACAAAAACATAATTTAACTCAACTCATATATCAAGTACAGAGTTAAGACATCTTAAATGACCAAAATTTTATTAGATGACTAACAAATTTAGTTACAAAAATTTTTAAAATAATTCTAATAACTCAAATAATTTAAAATAAAATTCCAATAGTTTAATCAACATGTTATTTCCGAAAAAAATTTAATAGTTATATATTTATCTATTTTATTTAATAAATTTATAAAATAATTAAAATTGTACTCAAATCCATTTGAATTCATTTCAAGCACAATTCATTTGAATATCAGCAAGAGTATGAGAGAAGACATTTTATTCTCTGTCTGTAACTCTTTGTAACAAAACCTATACATGCTTATGTAAAACCTACGTAAATATTTAACAATGATCAAAAATAACTTAAATAGCTTAAATTTATGAGAAATATTCAAAATAATCAGTTAATGCTTTAATATAAATAAGATTAAGGCATAAAAATTTTTCTAATTTCCTATCCAGATAAACTTTTTTAATATATAAGGTATTACCAAAAAAACACAATTTTTCATCATTAACTTCATTATTTTTAATAATTAATCTTGACAAAATTTGAAACCAAAAAAAATACTCTAATAAATTTGTTAAAATCCAAACAGAAATTTTTTTATCCCATTTTATGTCATCCTGAATTATTGCAAAAAGAAAAAACCCAACAGCAATAATTTCCTAAAAAAATTTTCTAAGAAATTGAAATCTTCCTTAAATAAATTTATTAGTCCCACTTTTAATTTAAGGGACAGAGAAAAAAATCCTAAATAAATAAAACCAAGAAAAAAAATTATATTTTTTCCTTTTTTATTTTGATTTTGCAAATTAAAAAAAAAAATTTCCATTATTTTTTAAAACAAATACAAAATGAAATTAACAAAGAATTGTTGAGGCTAAGAAAGTACACCTAAAAACTTCAGTCCGCCGTTGAAAATATTAAGCCTTAATTCTGAGTATAGAATCACTAAGTGATATATATCGTAAAAGTTTCAAAAACTTTATTATAGACACGAATCATTTGTTTGAATTGGGTTGTGTTTAGAATAATAATAAGTATCGCACTTTTTACGATAATTATCTTTATCGTTATACTCAGAATAAGCCCCATGATTTCGTTTAAATATTAACAATCTAATCGTGTATCCCACTATTTAATCTCGCGTTTTTATTCACTTTAAATCAGAATTCTCATTTTTCCTAATTGATATTTTCCCAATAGGATTTTTTCAACTGGATTTTTGTGAAAAAAATTATGATTAAATTTGTGTATTCCATTTACAAAGAACAAGATATTATGCAATACAAAAAAGTTCTCATACTCGAAGATTACATTGAACTAATGCTTAAGCGATATTCATCCCCTTTTTTCCCTCTTGACGAGTACAATAATAAGATACACGAATCAGGACTAAATTTTGATTTATATTTTTAAAAGTACTTGTAAAAAGGAATTTCGTTACTTTACAAATATTATTAATCACTCGTATTATGAAACAAAAATCGAAATTTTCAAAATTCAAGTTATATACAATATAATTGGGCTTAAAAAATAATTAAAATCGGAAATAACATGTTTTAAGAAAAGTAGTTACACAATTAGATAACAACATAAAATTGAGCACTTTAATATTTAGTAATCAATATAAGTAATCAAATCTACAAAAACAGCAAAATAAAAAGTAACAAATCCACTAAAAATCGTTATTTAAAATATTTAAAATTGCACCAAGAAAATTTAATTTATTTAAAAAAATTCGCCGCTGCATTAAAGTTTATTATTGGGTTAAAAAAAATCAAAAAAAAAGTACAAAACAAAAGTTAGAATAATTTTTCAATTTTTTGTTTGTTTTTTTTTTTTGTTTTTTTGTTAAGTTACAAAACAAAAGAAAGAGTAAGAAATATCAAAAACAATTTTGTTTGTTTGTTTTATTTTTAATATTTTTTTTAATTTTTTTTAGACAATATCTACTCACTCCTGTCTAGGGCCCTTCCTTCTTCTACGTATAGACAGTTTAACCGCGGTATTTCCGCTTCCATGTTCAGCTCTGTGCATAAAAAAAATTTATAATTGTAGAAAAAAAAAAACAAAAAATACACACAACCCCATTTATATAAGAATAAAATAAAATAATTTTTTTTGTTTTTCTTAAGAGAAGTAGGTGTTTTAGGTGGTGGAGAATTAAAGGAGAAAAAAAAAACCAAATAAATTAATAGAATAATTTTTGTTTTTTTCTCTTTTCCGAGATGAGTATAAAAAATGTGAAGTAATTATGAGTTTTTTTTTAGTTTCTTTAAAGATGGGCAAAAAAACAATATTAAAAATATTAAAAAAATTATTAGAATAAATAAAAGAAAATTTATTTGAAAATTTTAATTAACTAAAAAATTTGCTCAGAATTTATTCTCAAAAAAATTGAGAAAGTAAAGAGAAATTGAGATAAAATTAATAACAAAAAAAAAATTTTTGCGAAAAGGTGATTTTTATTTTGAAAGCAAATATATTTTTCTATTTACTTATTTGTTTGTAAAATTGTATTCTAAAAGTAGAGTGATAACTGATATGTGTAAATGAGTATGTAATGGAATCATTTTAAATGTGAAATAGTAGAATGAGTAATTTATGAGAAATAAAGTACATTATGTTGTATGCACTTAAAGAATAATTAATGAGATTATGAGTAATATCAAAATGCGATATTAAATGAGTAATAATCACTCATTATAAAATTAATAGTGAGTGAAATGCAATGAGAAAAACAAAAAGAAAAGTAAATTTTGGAAAATTAAGTAAAATTTCACCTACACTATGCATATAATAAAATATTTAATTTACATATTGTAAGCAGGTATACAATAAATTCGATAAATTTTTATTATTTTTCATACGAACACATACATATACATATATACGAACACAAACCATAGCCTTTGTTTTACCGGCATATTTTTTTGTTTAAGTAGTATACGATATTCATCGCTTTATTGTATAAATATATCTTTGCCTTAATAATAATGAAAAATTATTATCATATTGCCTTATAACAAATTATTCGCAAACTATTCACAGCAATTTCGAACTAAATTGCACACATATGTAAGTATAGGTTTACACATACTATAGAAGCGAATTTCAGGGCATAATGGTCTATATATAAATTTATATATATATATGTAAATTTAATATACATATGTATGTATTTACTTTGCATATATAATGTGCGCCTATATAATTTTGTTATACATATTATAGATTTTATATAAATTTTTTCATTGACTTTTGAATTTATGTTTTTTTCTTCTTGTTCTAGTGAATTTTCTTTTGAAACTATTATTGTTATACATTATGTAGATAAATATTAGTAAGTATACGCACGAATTTAATTATTAGTTCGTAATGTAACATTAATCATATATATGAAGAGAAACATTTTATTATTGTTATGAAAATATAAGTAATTAAATAATATATTGAGTACTTAATTGTTACTTAAATAAATTTTGGGTAAAAAAGTTTTATTAATTTTAATATTTTTTTAAAATATTAATAAAATAACACTTAATATGAAATTATTTATGAAAATACAATTAATTCATATATAATTAGTGAAGTTAAATAACAATACAATTACAAAGTATAGAGTAAAAAAAGTTTAAATTTTTTAAAGCATTGCCATATGCATGTAGTCAAAAAAATTTATTATAAATCTTTTTAATTTATTTAATTAATTACATTTTTTTAATTACTTATTTTATTATTTTTTAGTTAAAGCACGCATACAAAACCGATGTTTGTGAATGACTTAATATATGGATTAATTATTACGATGCGCAAATAAAGACATATTTCTGTCAAAATTGTACAAATTGATTGAGAAAACATAATTATATGACTTGATTGAGAAAACATAATCATACAAAAAAAACCGTCAGATGGCAGAAAGTTATTGCATACAATAAAAGAATGTTTGATAATGACTGATAAAGAAATTAAGAAAGGCAATTACAAATCACAACTTTTATTCTAACATTAAGCGTTAAATGCGATTTAAAATATAGAATTATAATATTAAAAATGTTTAATTGTATTAAATATACAATTATGTTATTTTAAATTTGCTTTTTCATGTTACAATTTCAACAAATACAACAAAATATATTAAACAATTTGAATTAAAACTTGAAAATATATTTATAGAACTTAAATAATGTTAAATTTTATTGTCAATCTTGAGTTCCATGTTGCAACAATACGGATTTTTAAACTCAACTCAGTTAAGATATAAATCTTTGATGTTGCTACATTTGAAGTTTTACGAGTATAATTTTGATTTATAAAACATGCCATATATTAAGATCTAAATTAGAACAGAATTTTTTAAAATCCTCATAAAAACCGTATTGTTAGAATATGGAGTCTCGGGAATTTTAGAAAATTATTAAAAAAATAAATTTAAGTATATATTTAAGTAGCCATTAAGTTTTTTTCATTAAATATTGATAATATTTTCAAAATTTTAGTTATTTAATAAACAAAACACGTTTGATTTTATAATATATGTATGAAGAATTATTAGAAAGAATAAAATTATTAAATATTTACTAATAATATACTTAATCCAAAAAAAAAAATTAATAAAAAATCCCTGAGAAAATTTTTTTATTAAATAACGACCTTCACATAACCTTAAACCTCATCAAACCATAAATCAATGTAAAAAAAATACTTTACTGTTAAAATGAGAAACTAAAATGAGGAAAAATAAAAAAATATAAAAATAAGTACAAAAAATAATAAAAGAGGAAATTTGGTTTTTATGATTTTTTCTTCTTTCTCATTTTTTTGTTTGATGATTTTTGTAATTACTGTAGGAATTACAAGGTCAAAAAAATTGTAATGTTACCGATTTTTTTTTATTATTATAAGAAAACAATAAGATTTATGAATTATAATAAAAATAAGTAAATAATTAATTTGCGAAACAGTTAAGTAAGTAGATAAAGTATGAATCGAATAAAAATTTATCGAATATTCATTGTATTTAAAAGCATTTTTTTGGAATATTTTCGTGAAATATGTATGTATGTTCTAGAATGCATGATAAATGAGCAAATGAGTGTAAAGATATAAGTATTGAAAAAGTTTAAAGCTTTTAAACCAGAAAGCGACGCTTTTCTTTTAAACGAATAAAATTGTCAAATTTAAAACATGAAAAAAAATACAAAACATAGAAAAAGCATTATAACAATATAATTTGTCCGTTACAGTTATTAATTTTGTCAATTGTAATTGTCAATCAGATTTGACATTGTCATACTGACATTTGTACATTTTAGCATAATATGTAATTAGTTAATTATCTAGTTAGTTATTTTGTGCTAAATGAAACTCTTTTTAATATTTATTTTGAGTTGTGTGTGTTTTTTTTATGAGTTTTCTTCGGTTTTTAATTTAATTCAAATAAAAAAATTATTAAATATTCATATACACATATACATATATATATGATCGCATTTAATTTTTTATATTTTTTTTTGTTGCAAGCTAAACTTAAAGTTTTTAAAAATTTATTCTTTTTTTGTATGTTTTAATATTTTAAATTTTAATTTTCGTTCCTTCATTTTATGTCTTTGTTTATTACAAATCCCATTAAATATAGGCACAGAGAGTGAATAAATATATATTTATATTTATATATATATATATATATTAAAGTAAGTAAATATATAAATATATATATATATATACTGAGTATTAACAATGTACAATAAAAATAAGTACATATTTTGATTTTTAAGATAAAAAATAAATGTTCAAATATAAATTTGAAATTATTAAAATCAAATAAGTAATCAAAAATAAAACAGAGTGTTTTAACTAATTTCATTTGGTTCATTGGTACTCTATAATATTTATTTTTCCTTTTGTTTAGGTACTACAAAATATATAACAAAATAATAATTAAGCAAATTCAAACTAACTAAAAAACTATTTAAAATAAGGCAATAATTTTTTGATTTTAGTAATTAAAATTTTAAGTTAAAAAAAGTAAAAAGAATTGAAAGAATAGATGATGAAAGCGAAATTATTAAAATTAAGTCAACACTTTTTTTGACACTTTTCATGTTTTGTAAAAATTTTAAATACACTTGGTAACACTTTACTTTTTCTATTATTTTTTCATGTTCTCATGTAAAGAATGCTTAAAACTGTAATTGAGATGGCACTTGTACTACTAATTACTTTTATTTAATTGAGTAATAATTTTCCTAGTAGATTACTAATTACTTTTAAATAAATAAATTATTAATATTTAAATTAATTTTTTAAATACTACTTTGGAGCTAGTTTTTATAGGGTATAACAGTTTTTAAGACAATTAGTTATTAAGAATCATAAAACTATATAAGTATTTTACTTTTTTTATTTTTGATCCGATTTTCCTTCATTTCCTCTGACTACAATTTAATCTGAATGCAAATTAAATATTTAAGATCCCGTTCGAAAACTTCAAAATAAAACTTGAACTTTAGTTTTATCGCGTTATTTATATGAAACGAAGACAAAAAACTAATACTTTAATATTATTACAATAAAATTAAGAATTTTCTTAAAAACAAATTCTAAAAATTAAAAAATATATATGTATACTTACTTACTTAATCATATATAGAGTTTTTTATAAAAATTTTTCAAAAAAAATTTTAAAATATCTATACAACTAAGTAATTAACTATTTACTAAATTTATTTTATTTATTTTTGCTACAGTGAAAACAACATATGCTAATAGTTTTCAAAAATCCAAAAAAAAAAAATAATGTGATTGCCAAATAAGTAATTTGTGACTTATAGTAATTATTTAAATTATTTAATTTTAAAATAGCATGCTAAAAATTTAAAATTAAGTATTCGTACATACACGAATACAACTTTCATTACACAGCTACTTAAATAGAATTATTTAAATAAATTCATGCATTCAAAATATTTTGAGAATAGATTTTCCTACGCGTATATACATACATAACTACCTAAATGACAAATT